TAAACACAGTGGCACGCAGAGGCATCCGGCCACAGACAGTCCCCACCAAAGCACAACCACCGACACAAAGAAGCGCAGACGCCACAACGCCGGTTACACCATCGCCCTCCCACCGCCCACGCAGCCTCACATAACCACCATGCAGACCGGTGAGATCCCAGAAAAAAGACACATGACCATTGGCACCGCTCTTGCGACCAAATATTTCTACCACAGAGCTGTCCCGTTGCCCTGAAAGACGCAAAAGGGCCAAGACACACCCACGTGGCGGCGTTGCGACCGGCAGCCATCAAGCGCGTCCAAGGACGTGGTGAGACGAAAGAGAAGCGGGGAATTCGCCGTTCGCCAGCAGCAGGGGCGTCGTTTCTCGCTCACGCGGTTCGGCATTGCACAGCAAGCAGCGGCATCATAAGCGCCCACGGCATACACAGGAAGGGAAAGCAAAGGAGCAGCAGTCAAACACAAAAAAAAAAGTATCCACGTTAATTGTTGTTTTTCCTCGTGTTTTTTGGAACAAATCCGACGACCCGCACGCCAGCCAACATCCCGCCCGCAGCACTTTGAGGAGTCACACAGCGGGCTCCCGCCCTCCCTCCTCGCAAGCCGCCACACCCTGGCAGAACGTCAGGACGGCCACCTGCGACACGGAAAGCCACCCGCAGCTGCGGCTACAATGCGCCGTGTGGGCTGCACAACAACTCTCCGCATCATGCGCGGTCGTCCCTAGCTCACGCAAATCATCTCCGACGCGTCGCAGCACGCAACAAGATATATGACGAAAAGGCTCCCTAGGCCACCCACAACGGGGACGTCAGTGCCGCACACACAACGCCCACTACAAAAACAGCGCTGCAGCAGCGGCTCTCCGGCAAGCAGCACAGTGCTGAACATCAAGCAGGCACGCACGCAAACACATACATGCCGCAAAGCCCTTGGATTGACTGCGTGATCCAGCAGCGACCGCAACAAAGCCCAAAATCGTACTCGTAAGCAACGCCACCCACGCCGCATCGCAATAAAGAGCCATACACACAGCACATCCACGAAAGCAAAAAGAGGGACGGGGCGCACCCAATTCCATGGCACAGTCCTTTACTTCTCTCTGCCCCGACGGGTTATCGTTACGCCTCACAGCAGGTTGTGGTGCGTGGCGTCCCACACCCACAGTGAGGCACGGCGCAAACCATCCGCTGAATTCCGAGTGCGCTCAGCAGGCCGGGGCAGGGCGCCCGGCCACCCTCGTGCCATCACAAATGAGAAACACAAATAATCGTTGTAGCGGACCATCGATGCCTCTAGCAGAAAAGGAAAAGTGATGGGGGCACTTCAGCAGCACAGCCAGCAGAGGGACAGCCAACGGGAAAAGGAGACAACAATTGGAAGTAGGCACGCCACATAAGAAAATGAGCCGCAGTGATTTGCCAAAAAAAAAAAAAAAAAGGAAAAAAAAAAGTGAGAGTCGAGCGGGATTTCAAAAACGTAAAAAAACACATTGAAAATTGATTCGGCAGGACTTTTATTACACGCGCCAAGCAGCACAAAACGACCATGTGTTTGTGTATGCATATTGCCCGCACCAAAGAAAAAAAAAGAATTAAAGTAAAAAAAGGGACCGTATTCTCCCATGGGGCCACATAACATTTCTCACGTTGCATGCGGCATCCAGCCTGCTCCTCCTTTTGTGCGGTCCGTGGGACGCACAGCAATGAGGCCGGCACCGCTTGTGAACAACAGAAGCAAATAAAAGAGGGGAAAACACGTCACTCAGAACGGATTGTTGCAAACGACCATCAAAAAAAAGAAAAACACAGGGGTGCTGATTATTCCAATAGGGCACCAGCAGCAAAAGAAATAAGAAACAAAAAGAAAATAAAAAACAAAAGAAAGAAAAAAAAGTTAAAAATGAAAAATAAATGGGTCCTTGACAAATTTCAGTGAGTAATGCGGGGAGGCCGCGCATTTGTTGCTCCACAAAAAGCCGCAATTCCACCCTCCCCCACACCTCAGCACAGAGCCGCAGTGCCCCACAGCCTCAGAAGCAGCAGCAATAATAGCACCCGAGACACACACACGTGCACGGTGCTGTCACCCTCTACACCCATGGACACCAACTCGGTGATATTCTCCAAATCAAAAAGGTCATTGTCCAAGGACGGTGCCGCGTTGAACTCCGATGGGATCTCGGTCTCCGCAGACGCTGTGCTCGGATTTGTCGGTGCGGTGCCAACGCCATCCAAAACGCTAACAATGCGTTGAACAGTTGCTGGATCTGTGCTGGGCTCAGGGGTTTCTGTGACGCCATCCGCGGGCGTCGTGTCAGTGCCGCTAAGTGAATCAGGGCCGCCCTTCGTGCCCACGGCAGTGCGGGCATGCGTGTCCTCTTCGGGGTCGGCGTCTTGTTTGCCGCTGGCCAGCGTGTTGGCAGTGGATGGCTCGTCGTACACGCTCCCAAAAACATCACGTGAAATGCTTTACGGTGTCCGGTTGCTGTTTTTGTTTCCGTTCCGCAGAGAGCCTTCGTCCGCCTTGCCCGCCCGCACCGTCATCGTCGATGCAGCCAAGTTGGGAGGCAAGGGCTCCCGGCCACCCTCAGGGCGCTCCCCACTGAAAGGTGTCTTGGTCTCAAGTACATCACAACGGCCGCCCGCGCTCTACGTTTGAGAAAATGCAAGCACCATTCCACCGCTGCTGGGTTCCTCTTCTTTCACTTCCTCCGTACCAGCTGAGGTGGACGGGCCAATGACATCAGCAAAAGATATTTGCATGGAGGCTGCTGGGCCATTTTTATTTCCTAATGGTTGCGCTGGTGAGTGTTGAATTTGCGGTGATGATGATGTGGCGTATTGCCGTGCTTCATTGACGACGACGGCCTCATTGGCAAATTGAAAAAGGGCTTCACTCGCATGATTGTTTTGAGACGCACCTTTCGAGGCCGGCACCTTCGCCTCTGGAGTAGCAACGGTGTTCTTCTTCATTAGCGCCTTGAGCTTGGCATCGCTCATTATGCGGTTGTACAGCAGGACGTTGCTCACCGTCACATGAACGTCATCCGAGTCCCTCGCGAGGTCCCCGCCAATGTAAAAGTGCGATGTGCTGTGAAAACTCAACAATGTTGATAACTCTTTTTTTCTGTTTTCACTCTTACCGGCGCGTCTAGCTATACATTGCCATCTGAGTGCCGAAGAGGAGGTCGAGCAACGACAAAAGTTTCCTGCTATAAAGCAACTGCCATTGAGAGAACTTTCCGAGGCGAAGGTCCTGTTCAATGCCCAGCCGTTGGCGCACAGCCAAGGTGCCTGGACATTCTAGAAGCAGATGGTGCAAGGTTTCCTGCGGGCCAATTGGCGTGATTGCGGGAGCAGGCTGATCCTGCGGCAGCAGAGATCGCCTCCTGGCACTGCTGTTTAGATGTCGAGTGGTGTCTGGGTTGTGTGCGCAGCGACTTCTGTGCTGTGCGGTGCTTCTCCGTATAGGGAAAACCATGTCACAGAAATCGCATTTGAGCTCGGGAAGCGGTGGAGGATGTTCCGGATGAAATGACCGACGGTGACTGACGAGATTCGAGAATCCCGTCAATATAGAATCGCAGTACGGACATTTCTCCTTCCGACGGCGTGTGATGGTTCTTCCCTTACTGGAGAGACGTCTTCATCCCTTGCCAACGGGGGAACAGCGTCTGTCCCCGGTACAGTTGGATCGTTGTTAGAGCGCATATATGCAGACTGTTCTGGTGAGATGTTGCAGAAACGGCATTGGTTCGTGCAATCTCTCACAGCCCAGTATAGTCGGCCCCAGAGCTCAGATTCCCCGCACCTTGCCCTAGCGGGGCGAACCAGTTCTTGACGGTGAAGAACTTCCTGAGTGATCAGGTCCTTACCGCTGAGATCGGATGGCCTTGTGCCGCAAAGCAAGTAGCGATGAGTGTCTTGACGAATGGTACTACGCCACTTGTTAGTGAGCTGGGTAGTAAAGCATGTCAGCAGATCCGTATGCCATAAAGGTGCAATTCCTTGCTCCGTGTATTGTCCAGTTTCCATAGTCTGCGTCGCAAACTCATCCGCAAGCTCGTTAGCATGTACTTCACAATGTCCGCAACAAAACTTCGGGTGCACGGACCAGCCAGCACACGTCAGTGTCAAAAGACGTTGCCAGATCTGATCCTCCGTCAAGTCTGTCTGACTGAGCGGGCCCTTGTTTAGAGCCGCTAGAAGAGACTGACTGTCTGTAACCACAAGCAGGGTTTTATGCCTGTGTTGGATACGAGGGATAATCAGCTTCTCCAGGGCTAGAAGCCGTGCGCGGGATTCCGTCCTGTAGATTCATGGGCGCGCACCGCAGTTTATACTGGCCTTTTCTATTATCTCCGATAAATTGAGGAATGAAAGCAGGATTCCAACCCCGGCTGACTTGGGAACGTCGACACCGCCATCCGTCGCGAGTATCCACGAACGATGGCTGTGCAGCGCTAGAGCCTCCTCGCTGACTCTGCGCTTTTCCCTTATCAGCTCTTCTTCGTCTGTTATTGAGGGGTCTATCGGAATCTCCACGCCAATGGTGACCCGGTGTGCGGAGGCCGCAAACCAGGGAGGAATGGAGCTGCGAAAGAACCGCTCTTCGCGTGGTGAGCTCTGGGTGGTGCCGTAGTCCTTTGTGTATGCGTCTACGAAGGCATATAGCTCATCCCGAGATAACGGCGAAATGCGGAAACCTGCGCGAGGTGGTGGCTCAGGCGGGGGTCTCCGCATCCAGTCCATCTGACATGCGCGTGTGTTCTCAAATATGGAGAGCCGCGCGCGCAGGCAGAGGACATGGAGCGGCGGCATATTAGCCCCTAGAAGTGCGGATTCCGGGTCGACAGTGCTCGGAACTCCGCTGACAATGCGTGCCAGGGTTGCATACG